TCTAGCAGTCACTGTATGTGGGGTTGGATGCCCCTGTGGGCCTCCCTGGATAACGGACACTGCTTAACAGATATGGGGGTAGCAGATATCTTTAAGTTGATGATGACGGGTGGCTGGTTCACGGCTAGCCCCATTCCCCTGGTCTCTACCCAGGCCTTGGTGTATTCTTTGAGCCAGGCTTGGATGCTTTCCAGGGGGGTTTTGTGAGGCTGTTCCAGCAACTTGTATTCATCCTCCAATTTTAGGGTAAGGACATGGAGGGGACTCCCATTTGGGCCGGTGACTGTGACCCCGTTTATTGAATTGAATTTGGGCTCCCAATTTAGACAGCAGGTCTCTCCCCAGGAGAGGGTAAGGGCAATTCGGGATGTGTAAGAAGGAGTGGGTCACTTTACCTATGGCCAGATGCACTTCCCGCTCGGTAGTCCATGGGTAGCTTTTCCGTCCTGTGGCGCCTTGCACCCATGAAGTCTTGTTACTCAGAAGACCAAGCGTTTTTGTTAACACTGAGTGTTGAGCTCCAGTGTCGACCAGGAAAGTTACGGGTTGCCCCCCCCCCCGATCTTGAGGGTTAGCCTGGGCTGGGGGGGGCTCCTGGCCCTGATTCCCCTAGTCCTCAAGGGAGAGGACTTGGGGAGGACGCTTCCTGTGTTCTCTTGGTTTCCTCGGGCAATCCTTGGCCCAATGTCCCTTCTCTTTGCAGTAGGCACATTGATTGCAGCCAACCCATGGGTACTGGATGTCTCCCTGGCTCCTCATCTGCCTCCCTGGTTCTGATCTAGGTTGTACTACGGTGGCCAAGATTTTGCTCACTTCCCTAGTGTGTTTCTTATCACGCTTGTCTTCCCTCTCCTCTTGTTCCTTTCTTAACCTCTCCTCTTTCTCTTCCTGCAACTTTCTTAGTCTTTCTTCCTTCTCTTCTGGGGTTTCTCTCTTATTATAAATCCTTTCTGCCTCTTTCATGAGATCCTGAAGGGTGTAGTCCTGTAATCCATTTAACCTCTGCAGCCTAGTCCGAATGTCTGATGCTGACTGTCCTATAAAGGCCATGATAATTTCTCCTCGGAGTTCCAGACTCGCTGGGTCGAAGGGTGTATATCTACGATATGCTTCCATTAACCTCTCTAAAAAATGCCACCAGGGTTTCTCCCCTCCCTGAGTGACTGCTCTTACCTTGGCCAAATTGGTTGGGTGCCTCCCAGTGCCCCGGAGACCCGCAAGGAGAATTTGGCGATAGAGACGGAGTTGTTCCCTACAGCAGGGGTAGGTAGCATAGTCCCAGTTAGGATGCTCCAATGGGAAGGCTGCATCAATCTCATTGGGGAGTGGGTGGGGGCCCCATTGAGGCCTGGCATGTTTTTCCGAGCTTCTAAAAAGACCTTTTGTTTTTCCTCCGTGGTTAAGAGTGTCTGGAGGACATGTTGACAATCATCCCAAGTGGGCTCAATGAGCCCAGTCAGTGCTTGGGACCTTGGGAAAAGGAGGGGTTATGGGTTTTCCAATTGTAGAGGTCTGTTAAGAGAAGCTTTTTCTTTGAGAGAATCTTTCCCGCCCACCTGGTTCTAGAGCTGCATCAGTCCCAAATAAACACACAGGAGGCTATATTAATTATGAAGCTGTTGGCCTTGCTTGTTTCCTACTGGCTAGCTCTGACTTAAGTAATTACCCCATAATTGTTAATCTAAGTATGTCTCTTACCGGAGAATAGTTCCGGGCTCCTACCCCATGGCGTTACATCTCGAACTCTCTGTGTTTCTCCTTCCCAGAATCCTCCTGGACTCCTAGTCCCACCTATCTAGATTCCTATTGGCCAGCAGTGCTTTATTAACAAATGTTAACAGGACTTCCCCCATCATCTCCTCTTTTCTGTTTAAACAAAAAGAAAGGTCTTAACTTTAACATAGTCAAATTATATATAACAGAACAGTTATCAAGTAAGAACATAGTTACAATATTTTAGCAAGATTTAAAGAAAATATCATCCATCCCATCCTTGTGAGTCCAAAGTTCTATATGTAGCTTATCTTTTATCATATCTAAGGAAAACTATAATTATAACTATCTGTCTTCAACTCCATCAAAGACCACAGAAGGATAATATATAAACACTAGGATTGATAGAGACATCTTACTGCCTGGACAGTCACCCGAAGTTCCACTGTAACGTTGGGGCATCCATCTTCAGCCACAATGTATCCAGAAGATTTCTCAGCCAAGCAGGAAATTTCAAAACTGTCCATCTGCATCAGCAGTCTGTCAGTCATTTTTCTGTGTCCTGCAGAATGTACCGTAGACTCTTCCATGAAGCAGGAATCCTGTAAGACTCAGTTCAGCAGTCACTTTCCTGTGGGTCCTGCATGTCCAGATTATACAACAGTCAAACAGTCTAGGTAAGAGCAGTTTCTTGCCCAAATGGCTAATCTTGCCATGTTGAAAGCAAACTCCATAATGAGTTTCTTTGATGCCCATCTCAGACGTAATTGGTGCTGCCAGGTGCAGACATTTCTCATTGTCAAGAAAAACCCTAAACCATTTTAAATGCCATTTTCTGAAGGTCTTTGAGAGGTTTGAAGACTGTTTATCTATCTCAAATATATTTCTGTATATCTAGAAAACCTAACTTACCTAACTATAAATTCCATTATCAATAACTATCTATAGTCTGTATTCAATTATGCATTACGTTTTAAAAGATCAGTATAAGCACAATACTTAATCAAGAGAAGAAATATAAGCATCACAAAATTGACCTTGAATTTGTATCAATAAATGAAAAACCATACCCATACCATAATTCCCCTTTTTTCCATTAACAAGAGATCGACTGTGATCATTAGCCAATTATAAACAATCCCATTGAAATGAAAACAAAGATTTATAAACAAGATGGGAATTGGGACGTCGCTCATTCCAAACTGCTTCCTGCTGGAAGGGGGCGCTGTTCATACCATGGGGATCATGACAAAACTCAGAAACCTGTATAAGTCCATATTTTCGGGGTCTATAAAGCTCCATCATCTTAGCTGTCTCAATTGTTGGAACATCTGGTCCACTGCTTCCGGAGGTCTTGGTTCGTCAAACCACAGAAGCCTGGAAGGAATCCTCAGCTTTTCATTTTCTGTAGAAACATAAGCAAAATCTCCTTTTCCAAGTAACATATCCTTATACTTAAATTTTGAAGTCAAGGCATTTTCAAAAGATAGAAGTTGAATTAATTCAGCAGCATTTATAATCAAGTGTACTTTAGTTGTTCCTTCCTTAGCAATCAAAAACTGAAAAACATAATAGCATACAGTATCCAGACTCTCTGTGTATTTTCCATCTTTGTGTGGCTTATTTATTTATCTATTATTACTTTATTTATTTTACTTTTATTTATTTTTCTCTGAGACAGGGTTTCTCTTTGGAAATCTGCCTGCCTCTGCCTCTGGAGTAAATCCTACCGGCATGCGCCACCACAATGTCAGCTTTTCTATTTATTTACCACTTTGTCATTTCATTTTCTCTCTCAATCTCACGTATATTTTTAAACACACTGTAAACCTTTAGAGGTTTTTCTTCATTTAAGTCTGACTTTACTGTAAATCTTTATGTTTTTCTGGCCATGTGTCTTATCTGTAAAACCGCGGCTGTTTTAAACTGCCGTATTTTCTAAGATGGCGGATGTAAGCGTGATTCCAGCTTACTGCCTCAGTCCATGCTGACATCCAGCAAAAGCTGCCACGTCCAGCTGTACGTGAACACCTTTTAATCGTTAGCAGAGTCTCTTAAAGTAACCTTGCTGGTTTTTTTTTTCTTTTTATGCCAAGTCAGGAAGACTCCCGTAAGCGAGCCGCGTGAATCTCGGCTTGTCGCTAGCAAAACAGAGCACACCTGAGAAAAATGTTGCTACCAAAAATCTGTGCTTCTCTCCGTTCTTATGCTTCTAAAATTCCTTTAAAGCTTTTGTTGTTTGGCGTGGAAATTTAATCCCACTTCTGACACCATTCTGTTAAGAGAAGCTTTTTCTTTGAGAGAATCTTTCCCGCCCACCTGGTTCTAGAGCTGCAGAGGTCAGATGCAGAGAACGGCCAGTACTGATGCTGGCCCCCTACTGATCTTAAGGGAAAGAACTGAGCCGACCATGGTCCATCCTCTCCCTCCTGACGCCGTCGCTCTCTGTGGAGACATAAGCGAGCCTGAATAGGAGTGGACCTCGGGCCAGGGTCATCCTGGGTCGAGGAATCAGGGGAAGGCAATGGAGGAGAGCTGGGTTCTCCTGCTCCAGCTGGACCCGGGGGAGGGAGATGTGGGAGGGAGGATCAAAGGAAAGCAGGTCAAGATTGGAGTCAGGGGGAAGGACAGGGGGCTTAGACTTCTCCCTATTGGAATCGGAATCAGCCAGAGGGTAGAGCAAGGAGGACAGAGGTGGGGCAGTTGGCGTGGAGGGGAGAGGGACAAGAGGAGTGGATGGGGGTAAAGGGGGGCTGGAAGTGTTGGGTAGGAGGTCAGAGGCAGGCGGATCTCTGTGAGTTTGAGGCCAGCCTGGTCTACAGATCGAGTTCCAGGACAGCTTCCAAAACAATACAGAGAAACCCTGTCTCGAAAAACCAAAAAATAAAAAAATAAAACCTAGCAGTAGACAGGCAACTTCACTCCCTCTGGAGGCTGCTGCGTCAGCTTGCTAAACGGGGGTCCCTATCATGGTTAGCTAAAGAAACATAAAACCTTGCTTTTGCAGTTTAGTGGGTCTGTCTTCCTGGTGGTCTCTGGGGACTTTGCAACTTGGGCACAACACAAATAAATACAGAGATAAACATAGAGAAACCCTCTCTTGAAAAACAGATAGATAGATAGATAGATAGATAGATAGATAGATAGATAGATAGATAGATAGATAGATAGATAGATAGATAGATAGATCCTATCGTCCTTCCAGCCTTATTCTCCCTGAAGGAATTTGGAGGCGTGACTTCATAAACAGGAAGGTGTTCTGGCCCTTAGTACCTTTAAGAACCCGCCAGCTGGCCTGGAGTCACATGGGATGGGCTCATGTGACCGGAGTCCCAATCCAATATGGCGGCGCCCAGGGGACGCGGGCTGTTCTTGCCCTCGCTGCTCGGCTTGCTCGGAGTGGCGTGGTGCAGCCTGAGTTCGGGGTGAGTGCATCTGCCAGGGTCGACCGGCTGGGGTCCCCCTGTCCTGCGTGCTTTCGGGCACAGCCCTCCGAGCTCACGATCGCCCCGTCCCCGCAGGGTTTCCAGCGACGATGACCTGCTATTGCCTTACCCACTCGCGCGCACACGTCCCTCGCGGGACTGCGCCCGGTTGCGCGCGGGCAGCCTCGAGCAAGAGAGCTGGCCTCCGCCGCCGGCGACCCCTGGCGCCAGCCACCCCCCGATCGTGCGCACCTTCGTGTCATATTTCGAGGGCCGCGCTGTGGCGGGCCACCTGACACGGGTCGCCGCGCCTCTGCGCACTTTCTCGGTGCTGGAGCCCGGGGGACCTGGAGGCTGCGCGCAGAGGCGCCGCGCCACTGTGGAAGACACAGCCGTCCCGGCCGGTTGCCTCATCGCCCAGAACGGTGGCTTCTTCCGCATGAACACCGGCGAGTGCTTGGGGAACGTGGTGAGCGACGGGCGGCTGGTGAGCAGTTCCGGGGGGCTGCAGAACGCGCAGTTCGGGATCCGCCGCGACGGGACCTTGGTCACTGGGTGAGAAGGTGGGGAGCCCCGGGGCTGTCGAGGGCAGAGGGTCTCCGATGTGCTTCTAGAGCCATGTCTCTAGATCCGTGGCCAGATCACCTAACCGAGCTTCCTATTCAAGTTAAGAGTGGGGACGCTGACAACTTCTTTGAAGTTTACTCGTGTGTCATTGAACGCTTGCTCTGTGATCAAGCCGTGTGTACGGCTCTGGGGATGCCACCCTGAACCTGAAGGCACAGTTTGTGCCTTAGAGAACTTTCCCTAGGATTAGAGGAAACAAACGTTTCGTGTTCAGCAGCGAAGCCATGGAACCACTGGAGATAATATAGAGTTTATGGAGAAATCCCTGACAGCTAGCTGAAGGCCTTTTGCTATCCCGGATAGAAATCCTGGGCAGGCAAGTAGCTCGTCGAGTGGCGTCTTTGGCAGTTTCTGTATCTCTTGAAATTTGACGGCAGGCAGGCCTGAATAGTAGATTGCGCCATCTAGTGTCCCAGCTCTCTTGCAAGAGGTGCAGTTTTTGTCAAGGCTGGAAAGTGGGGTTTTCCAGCTCTTAGCAGACCCTGGTTACAGTTTCTGGGCCTGCTCGGGCATCTGGTTCTTCATCCTTCAAACGCAGCCAGCGCCACAACTGTTGGTTTTGGGTTGTCAACGACCCTAAAAGTTCTTCCAGCGCCTGCAGTTTCTCTTCTGGACCTCAGAGCTTCATCGTCTCCACCCTCCCACGGTCTCCCTTGTTCCTCTCTGGGGCTTCCCTTGCAGACCGTTCAGCTATCTACTGCTCTTTTTATGATGGCCTGCTCACATTCTTTTTTTGGGGGGGGCATGTGTGCCATCTGTGTGGGCCCATGTGGAGTCCAGAGTTTGATTTCAAGTGGCTTCTGAATCTGGAGCTCACTCATTCAGTGAAACAGGTTGGCCAACAAACCCCAGCTGTCCTCTTTCTCCTGCCCATCCCCCAGCACTAGGGTTACAGATGTGTGCTGCCTCACCAGTGTTTACATAGGTGCTGAAGGCCAAGACTCAGGGCCTCATGCTTGGGTGAAAAGGTTTTTACCCGGGCGTTGGTGGCGCAAGCCTTTAATCCCAGCACTCTAGAGGCAGAGGCAGGCGGATCTCTGTGAGTTCAAGGCCAGTCTGGTCTACAGAACGAGTTCCAGGACAGCCTCCAAAACAATACAGAGAAACCCTGTCTCAAAAAACCAAAAAAAAAAAAAAAGGTTTTTACCAATTGATCTATTTTTCCAAACCCATCCTTCCACGTGTTAGCTGCCAAGCAGCTGCCTCATGTGTCCATTTGTAGCTCAGTGTTACTTCTTTGTGTTATCAGGTCAGTACGTGTTACTAAAGATGGCAAGAGAAGAAGGTTCTTTGATTGTGTGTAATGTAGTCACACAGGGGGGGGCAGCAGCACAGGAGAGCATCTCCCAGCTCACTCCCCAACTCAGCTGAACACATCCTTACTGCTTATACATCCAGAGAAGGGAGGTCTGCACCAATCACAGCACACCTCACATGCAAATGAAGGCTTGCATTTGTACCAATCACAGCCTTGCCGTTTTAGCACCCATCACAGCAGTCCTGCTAGACTACCAGCGGATCTGCTCTCCCTCTGGCCTAGATAGGAAATAGTTACAGGAAAACGCTTGGCACAACTGTTTTGAACAGCGCTGGCTGAGGCTATGCCTTCAGGAACATGAGCAAGCAGGTGCAGTCTTTGACTGCCTCAAAGTGTCTGGAGCATTCTAGACTACTGCTGCTGCTGACATAAGGCCAGTCTGGTTGGCTGTTTGACTTTTGCTTAAGCAGCCGGGGCAGCAGAGTGTAACAGCTGCTAATTAGTAAATCAATTAGGAAAATTACAGAAAACCCGGAGCTGTTCCTGCCCGTGAGTGAGCCTCTTGCCTCCCTGCCTCCAGGTACCTATCTGAGGAGGAGGTACTGGACACCGTGAATCCGTTCGTGCAGCTGCTGAGTGGAGTTGTGTGGCTCATCCGCAATGGAAGCATCTACATCAACGAGAGCCAAGTCACCGAGTGTGATGAGACTCAGGAGACAGGTCAGGAAGGGGGTCTGCTGTAGCACTTTCTTTTCTATTGTTAGTATATTTTTATTTGTCTCCTTTGTGTGGGGGTCAGGTGCCATAGTGTGTGGGGGAAGGTCAGAGGACCTTCAGCCATGTGAGTCCTGAGTACTGAACTCAGGCTGTCAAGCGTGATGGAGGCACCTTTACCCTCTGAGCCACCTTCCTCGCCCAGCATTGGCTTTCCTGAGACCTAACAAGAGTGTGAGTAGGCTATACTTCAGTGCTCCCGAACATTCACTGAGCAGCTATTCAGCGTTTAGCGCTATGGTGGGAGTCGTGGGAATCCAGTCTTACTTGGAATATGTGAGAAGGAAGACCCTTGGCAGCAAGCTGGAAAGAATTGCCCAGGAAGGGGCAGCGAGGGGGGGAGAGAAAGGGGACGGACGGGTGGGGAACAGATGCACAGTGGGAAAAGTGCTGCAGGTTTCTGTTCAGTGACCTCGGCGTAGCCTTGGAGCTTGTCATAAGTGCAGGCCCTTGAGTCCCCTCCCCCCACCCCCAGACCTCCATTCAGGAGCCACTGGTTAAGTTCTAACAACCCATGTATGCAGGCTCTTCCTTGGTGACATTGATGGATGCTCCAGTGTAAGAGTCGCTTGGGTGTGGGCTAGTGAGTTGACTTGGTCAGTAAAGTGTTTGCCTTGGAAGTGAGAACCTGAGTTCGAGCCCCCAGAAAAGTGCGCACTTGCGGTCCCTGGGATGGTGAGATGGGAGGTGGAGATAGGTGAATCCCTGAATAGCCGGATAAGCTAACCTCCATGGTGACATTCCGGGCTAACGAGAGACCCTGTCTCAAACAGAAAGGGGAAGACATCTGAGGAGCAACACCCGAGGTTGTCCTCTGTCCCCCACAGGCGTGTGCACATGCGTGCACATCTGAGGAGCAGCCCCCCCGAGGTTGTCCTCTGTCCCCCACAGGCATGTGCACATGTGTGTACATCTGAGGAGCAGCCCCCGAGGTTGTCCTCTGTCCCCCACAGGCGTGTACACATGCGTGCACACCTCTACAGTCAAAACGCTGGGGTGTGAGAGGGTGCTTTGGTCCTGAAGTCTCTGCCATTTCAGGGTGGACAGTGGGGCGCGGAGGCGGGGGGGATGACTAAGGATGCTGTCTGTGGATCAGAGAACAAGCTGTCAGAACTCAGGGCAGAGGCGTACAGTTCCCAGCCAGACTGCCCTAAAGCTGTGAGAGTAGCTGTCAGGGAAGGAGAGCAACAGAAGTGAGACCAGAGGCTTCACACAAAGCCTGTGGGTTTGTTCTGCCAACACAGAGGTTTCTGCTGGGGACTGAGGTCACCTGAAGCGTTTTCTGGCTGTGGCATGGAGGCTCACTGAAGGGGGAGCTGGGGTGTGGCTCAGTGATCCAGTACTTGCTTTGCATGCACAGAGGGCTGGGTAACCAGCCAGGCCCCTTCTCCTTCAGGTTCCTTTAGCAAATTTGTGAACGTGATATCAGCCAGGACAGCTGTGGGTCATGACCGTAAGGGGCAGCTTGTACTCTTCCATGCAGATGGACAGACGGAGCAGCGTGGGTGAGTTCAAGGAATCCTCAGGGGTGTTTGCACTCAGTTTCCCCTCACCTTCCAGTAGTTTCTGGGATAGTGGATGGAACAAGACAGCTTCTGGGCCATTTTAGAACTTTCATCTGCCCCAGTAGGAGTGATAGTATTTACCTTCTGACCAAAGGGAGACAGTTAAGCCATAGCCCATGGGGCTCAGCTGCTTACCCCCTTGACACAGCATCAACCTGTGGGAGATGGCAGAGTTCCTGCTGAAACAAGATGTGGTCAATGCCATCAACCTGGATGGAGGTGGTTCCGCCACCTTTGTGCTCAACGGGACCCTGGCCAGTTACCCCTCGGATCACTGGTAAGGACACTTCGGCCACCTTTGAGGGGGAAGCCCTGGCCTACCTCCAACTGTCTCACTCAGTCAGTATTGAGACCCTGCTGTATGCCAAGCCCTGGGTCTCCTTTATGAGCAGAAGAGCCAAGATCTCTTTCCTCAGGGTGCTGCATGGCCCACACCTGGGAATCTGGGACAGTGGTCAGGACAGTGAGGTAAGGCTGAGGAAATGGCTGGCCTTCCAGAAAGCACAGTGTGTGCTGGGGGAGGGGGGCCTATAAATGGTCCAACAAGAGGCTGGAGCTGTCCTTCAGTAGGATTTGTCTTGCAAGCAGAGGGCCTGAGTTCAAACTCCAGAGCCCACACTAAAAAGCCAGATGTGAGTGGCACATGCTTGCAATCGCAGTGTTGAGGAGGAGGAAGAGACAGGTGGACCTGACCTGACACCAGGCTAGCCAGCCCCATCTCCTGGGCAGCGTCCAGGCCAGAGAGAGATAAATAACATAAATGAAAGCGAAGATAGTGGGTACCTAAGGTTGTCCTGACTCCATATGCGCATGTGCACGTGCATCCCCTAGCATGTGTGCCAGCATACGCACACATGCAGGAGCACAAGTGTCAGGACGGAGACGGAAAGAGGCCGCAGCAGCCTTCACAGGCTGCAGCAGAGACTTAAGGGGTCAGCTGGCGCCAGCACCAAGGCCACGACCTCTCCTCACAAAGAATCCTCCACAGCAAGGACAACATGTGGCGCTGTCCCCGCCTGGTTTCCACCGTGGTATGTGTGCATGAACCCTACTGCCAGCCACCCAACTGCAGTGGCCACGGGACCTGTGTGGATGGCCATTGTGAATGCACCAGCCGCTTCTGGCGGGGTGCCGCCTGCAACGAGCTAGACTGTGGCCCCTCCAACTGCAGCCAGCACGGACTGTGCACAGAGAGTGAGTGGAGAGCCCACAAGGAGGGCGGTGCTCTGACGGGACCCCAGCTCTCTGTCAGGTCTGCCTCTGGCCTCACCTGGCCTCCATGGTCTTGCTTTTGCAGCTGGCTGCCACTGTGATGCTGGATGGACAGGATCCAACTGCAGTGAAGGTGAGAGCCACCAGTGGCCCGCAGAGGCTCCTGGAGAGGGTGGCCTGGCTACACGCAGCTCTTACAACGCCTTCGTCCCTCCTTCTGACTGGGCAGTTGCCTTCAGGGCCTCTTCTCACTTCACATGCAAATCTCTTTATGTCCTCACTGGGTTTGCTGAACAATTCCCACCAAGTAGGAGGCCGGATTTCAGCACTGGCCACTCAGTTCCAAAGACCAACAGCAAAACCACGGTGTGGCCAGGCCACACACCCGAGGGAGGTCCACCAAAGTCCTTAACACCCTGAAAGCAGCTCCTGGTGTTCCTGCGCCTGGGTAGTGTCAACCTCAGTGGACTTCCCATTTCCTGTCTCTTAATTCCTTTATGGTTATCAACTCTAGAGCCCACCTTAAATCCAGGTGATATACTTGTTTTTTATTTGAGACAGGGTCTTAATTCAGCCCAGGCTGTCCTCTAATTCACCATGTAGCCAAGGAGGGTCTTGAACACCTACTTCCTGCTTCCACCTCCCAAGTGCTGGGATTATAAACATATGCTTTCATGCCCAGCTCGTAGGGTGCTGGGACTCAAACCCAGGGCTCCGTGCATATCAGATAAGCATTCTAGAAACAGAGCTACAGCCCTGTTTACAACTGGGTTACCTTTGAGGACTGGTGCAGGGATCAAGGAGCATCTCTTTCAGCATGGCTCTGCACACATCCAGGAGCCAGGCTTGCTATAACAAGAGACCCTGCTACCCAAGGTGAAACCTAACCTGCCACCATTTCCTCTCCACAGAGTGTCCTCTGGGCTGGTATGGGCAAGGTTGCCAGAGGCCTTGCCAATGTGAATACCAGTGTCCCTGCGACCCCCAGACTGGCAACTGCAGCATCTCCCAAGGTACATGGGCTCCTGAAACCCTTGGGGCAGGTCTGGGGTAGCAGACCCTCCCCAACCCTGCATCTTCTGTCTGGTGTCTTACAGTGAAGCAGTGTCTCCAGCCTACTGAGGCCACACCAAGAGCAGGAGAGTTGGCCTTTTTTACCAGGTAGGTGTTTCAGCTGAGGAAGCGCCCCCTCACCCCATCCATGAGGCTTAACTGGCATCCAGGAATGAGAGTAAGAAGGACCCAGGCCACTGCCCAGTAGGAGTCAAAGGTGGTAGACTATGGGCTTGATCTCCATAGCCATAGAGACTTAACTCAGATCCTCGGACAGAGCTGTAGAGACAGGACTTGCCTCACTTCTGAACTCTGCCATGTGTGCAGGCTTTGTGTTGCTGTTGCTCCCTTCCTGCTGCTTCCTGGGTCGCCAGCTCTATTCCCAGAGGGTCCGTGGGAAGGATTGTGAAGCTGGGGATGTAGCTCAATTGACAGATTGTTTGCCTAGCACACAGGGAGCTCCGAATCCAATCCCCAGCACTTCAGAAGCCAGGTGTGGTGACACATACCTGTATTTCCAGCACTTGAATCAGAAGTTTAAGATCATCAGGAGGCGTAAGACCCTAAATAAACAGATTCTTGAGCTGGGCCACCCAGCGTAAGCCTGTCATCCCAACTACTCCAGGAGGCTGAAGCGGGAGGATGTCAAATTCAAGGCTAGTTTGAGCTACAAATTGAGTTCAAGACCAACCTAGGCAACTTAGTGAGACCCTGTTACAACATAAAAAGTAAAAAGGGGGCTGAGGTTGTAACTCAGTGTTAGAGCATTTGCTTAGCATTCACAAGGCTCTAGGTTCAATTCCTGGTGCTTCAAAAATCACATTATAATGATATCTAAAAAGCAGTAATGCTTACATTAAAGTGTGTGTGTGTGTGTGTGTGTGTGTAGGCAGTGGTGGTACATATCTTTAGTTCCAACACTCAGGAGGCAGAGGCAGGCAGGTCTCTGAGTTTGGGGCCAGCCTCATCTACAGAGCAAATTCCAGGACAATCAGGGATACACTGAGAAACCCTGTTTTGAAAAACAAAAAAAAAGTGTGTGTGTGTATGTGTGTGTGTGTAAAGGCAGGCAGACCTCCAAGTTTTAGGCCAGTCTAGTTTATAGAGTTCCAGGACAGCCAGGGCTATCCAGAGAAACAGTGTCTCAAAACAACAACAAAAAACCTAGGAGCTAGAGAGATGGCTCAGTGGTTAAGAGCACTCTTCCAGAGGACCTGGATTCAGTTCCTAGCATCCACTTACTTGACAGCTCACAACTGTCTGTGACTCCAGTTCCAGGAAATCTGACACCCTCACATAAACAATGCATGCAGCCATAACACCAGTATACATAATCAAAAGTAAAGAAAGTGCCTGTGCGGATCTCTGTGAGTTCGAGGCCAGCCTGGTCTCCAGAGTGAGTTCCAAGACAGTCTCCAAAACAATACAGAGAAACCCTGTCTCGAAAAACCAAAAAAAAAAAAAAAAAAAAAAAGCCAAGAAAGTGCCTGTGTTGTGTGTGTATGTGCCCCAACCTTAAGTTGTTATTCCCAGTATCTGTCCACCTTGTTTTTCATTGATCTGAAACTTGGAGGTTATGTTAGACTAGCTGACCTGTGAGCTCCCTCTTCCAAGCAAGACGATGACAGTGTGCACCGTCATTCTTGGCTTTTAAGAAGTACCTTCTAAGCCGGGCATTGGTGGCGCACGCCTTTAATCCCAGCACTTGGGAGGCAGAGGCAGGCGGATCTCTGTGAGTTCGAGGCCAGCCTGGTCTACAAGAGCTAGTTCCAGGACAGCCTCCAAAGCCACAGAGAAACCCTGTCTCGAAAAACCAAAAAAAAAAAAAAAAAAAAAAAAAAAAAAAAAGTACCTTCTAGCTGGGCATTGGTGGTGCACACCTTTAATCCCAGAACTCGGGAGGCAGAGGCAGGCTGATCTCTGAGTTTGAGGCCAGCCTGATCTACAGAGCAAATTCCAGGACAGCCTCCAAAGCAATACAGAGAAACCCTGTCTAGAAAACAAACAGCAAAAGTACCTTCTAGTGATCAAACTTGGGTCTTCATGTTTACAAGATAAGCCTGAGCTATTTCCTCGGTTCCTGAAATATTTTTAACATCTTTAAGACATCAGAGAATGTCTCTCTTATTCCCTGCATGTGTCTTTGGTATGCCCACTGAGCTCAGCATTCCCCGTGTGGGTTCTGGCTGCCCCAAGGCTGCATCTCAGCAACCCCCCTCAAGTCTCCCTTCTGTCCTAGGACCACGTGGCTGGCACTTACCCTCATCCTAGTTTCCCTGCTGCTGATCAGCATCGCGGTCAATGTGAACTTGCTCTTGGGCTCCAAGACAGAGAGGAACCGACACCTGGATGGGGACTATGTATACCACCCCCTGCAGGAGATGAATGGGGACTTGCTGGCTGCAGAGAAGGAGCAAACAGAAGACACTTGTAACCCCTTCAAGGACTGACACACCTGGGCTGCGGTGTCCCAGGTAAAGTCTCTGCTCCTCACTTTTATGGGGAAGGATGTGAGGCCACAGGCATGGATGCTGTACCTGCCTGGCCATGCCCCACCTGTCGCCATGCTGTGGCTCATGCCATGCCAAGCAATACAGATCTCTGGAGAGCCTGCGTCTGCTCCCCTGCCTGCCTGTGTCTGCTGCCCAGAGGCCTGTCTCCCACAGGGGTCTCACCACTGCCAAAGACTTCCAGGAGGCCACTAGCAAATGAAACTGACTCAATCATGACAAGAGTGGCCAACTCGCCTGGACTGCCTGCACAGGGGTAGAGTAGAAAAACTAATGCCGTGACATACCACCTCTTATGCAGCCTCATTGCTGGATTGCCAACTAGAACTCTGTATCCTGTCACAGAAAGCTCCTCATAAGAAGGCATGGGGAGGGAAGGAAGTCGCCATGTTTACAGACCTTCTATTTTTGTTGTCCTGCTCCCTAATACTTGAGTTTTCTAATACTTGAATAAACTGGTATACTAAAATGAGCCACCAGGGGGCATGTGAGGTCTGAGTCCTGGGCAGGGGCCTGAGCTGCTCCCAGTGCCTTCTGTTAACCAATGTTGCACAAATTTTGCCAGGCACAAGGCTACCTGGGGACTATGTTAAGCCAGGGTTCTGGGTTCTACAAGCTACAGTCAATGTTATTGCTGCAGGCTAGGTTACACTTTGAAGGCAAGGATTTGATTGACCCTAACAATTTTCCTTAGGTAGTTGTCCTAGTTACTTTTCTATTGCTGTGAAACATGCCCCAGGCAGCTTATCAAAGAAAGCATTTAATTTGACTTACGTTTTCAGAGTGTTAGAATCCAGGATGGTGGAGTAAAGGAACAGCTGAGAGCACCTCCAAACTTCCCCAAACCTATGGGGATCGGGGATTGGAATTTGGTGGTTTGAGAATGGCTCCTATAGGCTCATTTGAATCCCTAGTTGGTGGAACTGTTTGGGTAGGATCAGGAGGTGTGTCACTGGGGGTAAGTTTCACAATAACATTGTGGATTTTAAGGACGAAGGGAGAAGTCTGTGCTAAGATGGGTTGGTAAGACATGACTGGACAGGTTAGACAGTGTAGCCAAATAATGGATTTTGATTGCTGGACCTTAGAGTTTAGTCTCAGGAATAAGTCAGTGGCCAGATAAGAGAACAGATCTTGGGGCTAGCTTTAGGAATGTAATTTAATGGTTTAGCAAGGGAGAGGAAAGGACAAAATGTCTGCAGTGCTTGGGCCTGTTAGAGCCCTTCATTCTGGCTGGACTAGAAATTGTAGTGTAGCCCAGGCCATCTTTGAATTTACAATGCTCCTCCTTCTTGGTGAAATACTAAGCCTAGCTTTTGTCTGTTTATTTTTGAGACAGCATCCTGATATACAGCCCAGGCTGACTTCAAACTCAGGGTACTCTTGCCCCAGCTTCCCAAGTGCTAGAATTCCAGTTGTGTAGCTGGCCCACCCCAGAAGGACCTAGGCAAGTGGTTTATGTAGGGGGTGCCCCCTCCAGAAAGTGCTGGTAGGGGACAAAACAGAAGGTATCCTGTCATAAGAGGACATTGACACTGTCCAAGACTAACTTCTATATTTAAAAGCCTGATATAGAAATTAAACACATTTGTGCATGTCCGTGGCTCATATTAGATTCTTATAGGAGTTCTTGTCTTGGGAAAAATCTGGAATCCAGGAAACAGTTCAAGGGTTTCACATTATGTTCCCAGGGAAACATCTTGGTTGGTCCAGCAGGATCTGGAACAGTGGAGTAGTCAGCCCTAGCTACCTCTGTCTCTGTCAACCACCTTCACCTCCTGGCAGTTGTGGCTCCTGCCACTAAGGCCCTGCCCAAACTCCCACAGCGGCTGCTTCAAGATCGTACTCTGATGTCCCAGAAGTAGCACCCCCAAGCAGCTCTGGGCCACAGGGAGATTAGGGCAGGTTTTGCCCTCCCTGGCCCAGGCTCCCAGAGGAGGCCTCGGGAGGGTTGAGAGCTAAGGCAGACGTCAGCAGGGCCTGTACCCTCTTGGGAGTTGTCTTCCTCTGGTACTCCCTTCTCCGTGGCTGCAGAGGAATCCATGGGAGAACAGCAGTAAATGAAGGGATGAATGAATGCTGAAGTGACTGGGTAAGTCAATGAGTGGTAAGTGAACGAGTGAATGCATGTACTGTGGGGACTGTCCTCCGTGATTAGATCCTGTTGCTGACTTCTAGGACATCACACAGGGGAACCAGTAGGTTATCCTCTGCTCTCCCACGTGACAGCTCCAGCACCACGGTGTTCCACACAGTAACCATCCCCCTGCTCTGAGCCGTGAGGGGAGGAGGCCGAGCCTTGGGTGGGGCCCTCACACTTTTCTGAGGCAGAAAGATCAGCTGGGACTAGACCCTCAGAAAAATCAGCTGAGAAATTCCTGGGTTGGGGTTTTTGTTGTTTGTTTGTTTGAAACAGGATCTCACCTTGCAGTCGGAGCTGGCATGAAACTCACTACACAGACCAGACTGGCCTCAAATGTGTGGAGATGCTCCTGCCTCCACCTCCCAAGAGCTGGGGTTTCAGGTGTGCCCCACCACACATGGCTACAGATGAGAAATTCTGGAACTAGCCCAGGACAGGCACCAGGGTTCTAGGAAATGGACAGCAGGCGATATCCAAATGTATATGTTTAATGCTTCTGTCAAATCAAACAAACACCCTGTCTCCAGCAGCCGGCTCACTGAGAAGGAAGATGTGGTTGTTGTTGACCAGTTTTCCAGAGTTAAGAAAAATGGGGATTCCAGGATAGAAACACACCAACCGCTTCAAACTCCCTAATGCCAACAGTCCTCTCCCTGAGCATACCCGGACTCACTAAGTATTTTTTGTGTGTGGAGCCTTGCCAGCCACGTTCTCATCTGTCCCACTGTGACCTGGTGAGGTAGGCACTGCCATCCCCATTTTACAGATGAGGTAACTGAGGCACAGAAAAGACAAGTCACCTGCACAAGGTTTCACTGTGAGTGAAAGAAAGGCTGGGGTTTCAAGACTGTAGTCTATTGATGTAGGGCACTCTGATCTGGCCATAGGCTAATGAAAAAAGTGGAGAAAGAAATGAATTCCATGTGGTTGTCTGCCCGGGGGAAAGGCCAGAGCCTGGCAGGCCCTCCTGGGGGACGCTTTGTGCATGTGTGTGATATATGTATGTGTGTACGTGTAGGCCGAAGATTGGCGTGTCTTCTCCATTTGCTCTCTGCCTTACTTTTTTCAGACAGGGCCTCCCCTTGAGTCTGGAGCTCAGCAACTGAGCTCCGCTGAGTGGTCAGTGAGTGCCATTTCCCCTCCTGTCTGTCCACTCAGCACTGGGGTTGCAGGTGAGCATCCCTGCAGCAGGCCTTTTGCATGGCTTCTGGGATCCAAACTCAGGCCCTCATGCTTGTGCACCGGTCATTTAGGCAGCTGAGTCACCTCCCAAGCACCCTTGGCTATTTTTAATTGCTGGCTTTCCCGAGTGCCAATGCAGGAGGACACAATGGATGCCACCACAGCCATCTGCTGATGCTATGACCCAGATTTCTTCCAGAGGGATTTCTTAGTCCCCAGCGTCCACCCACTGGTCTGGGAATGCTTGGGCACGGAGTATGTGTGTGACTTGAGCAGGACCAGTCAGAGCCTCTTGGGAGGTTGTGGTTAGGGACTGTCTTTCTGTTAGACACTGGGAACCCTGTGAGTACAAGCTTGGAGCTGCCTCTCAGCAGTGAGAGGACACGAGGCAAATGTACAGAGAGATGTGAGTCAAGAGGCCTGGGTGCAGCCATACCTGCAGGAAAGGACCAAGGGATTCCTCTTGTTCAAATCGGTTTTCCCTGGGGGGTGGGGAGAGGTGAAGCCTTTCAAGACCCCTCTTGGTCTGTGTTCGTCACTGTCTGGAGGATAAATGTGCAAAGGCCACTAGACAGCTTCTCCCCAAAGCACTTCTAGGGTAAAGCTTTGGTTTGAAGTTAGAAGCTCATTTAAAGATTGCTAACACGGGCTGGGATTGAGTCGTGGTGGTAGGGTGCTTGCCCAGCATGTATGAAGCCCTGGGTTCAGCTCCCAGCACTGCATACAATAAGTGGAGAGGCACACACTGGTGATCCCAAAATTTTAGAGGCAGAAGCAGAAGGACCAGGAGTTCAAGGTCATCCTTAGCCTTACAAGAGTTCAAGGCTGGGATACATGAAACCATGTCCAAAAAAACGAAAACAAAGCAACCACCACAGAAATGGGCCTTGCATGTGGCTCAGTGATTGCCCAGCATGAACAAGGCCTGGGTTTGGACCTCAGCACTGCAATAACAGCAAATAATTAACAACGATAATCAAAATAATAAGGATCACTGAAAACATCACCAATTGCTCTTGGTGATTTGGAGACAACTGGTTTTGGCTATCTCTCTGGAAGATGGACACACACACACACACACACACACACACTGCTGCAGTCCTGTGTTTCATTGCTATTCCTGAAGAACAGAACAAGAATTCTGGCCAGGCTTTCCATCAGTGGAAGGTTCTCCCTTCAAGAATCCATTTCCTACTGCTTCAGATTTGGGGTGGGCCCAGCATGAAGCCCATGCTTGCTCTCCTGACCCCCCCAACCAGAAACTACCCCTTAGCCTAGTGAGCTGTAGAAATGACCCCGACTCTAAGCAAGGCTGACAGAGAAGAGCAATGAGGAGCTTCGGGGCCAGGTTGGGTCTGAGGCTGTACACAGAGCTTCAATCAGGCGCAACCTGGGACAGTGGTGCAGGTCAGTGCTGGTTGGCGGAGGTGGAAACAGTGTGGGCTAAGGAAAACTAGATCTGAATCCTGATTTCTCTATGCTGTGCCTCAAGTTTTGAGCCACGCTGTAGGCAAAACACAAAACACTAAAGAGAGGCTGCAACTAGCGGAAGGTTACCAAACAGTGACCTCACCTTCTGCTAATCCAGGAAATGGAAAGAACAAGTCCTTGGTCTCCAAGAAGACCCACTACACCCTTGGGGTATCTGGGAAAGTGTTATTTATCTTGGTGTTCCTGAGTCAGAGCAACTCCAGGACAGGGACAACCACCTCCACCCCCAGGGGATGCCCAGCATCAGGCTGAGACCGGATCCAACCTGAACTAAGTTCTCCTAGGCTGACCAGGAGTGTCCTGTCACTCAGAGAAGGAGCAGCACCTCAGGAAGAAGAGGCTCTGGAGGGGAACAAGAACAGCTGGAGTCACCCCATCACCCCATCACTGCCAGGGACTAGGCAGAAGCCCTGGGTGGAACTATGTTCCTCGAGTCAAGGTTAAGTGCTCCACAGACTAGAAAGCAGAAATGCAGTCCATGGCAGGCGGTTTCCTGTAGGAAGTGGAGCCCTGTCTCCCCATCACAGCTCCTTGGACAGTGCTCAGCCACAGTTAAGCAACCAGGTGCTGAGGGGACCATCTCCCCAGCTACCCAGTAATCCTTCAGCCCACCTTGCCCTTTCCAGACCATACGGTTGGCCCCAGAAATATTCCTGTAGTCCTGGCTGGCCAATTACTACATTGCATTCTATCCCCAAATCACAGTGATTGGTCCAGATTGGATATATGACCATGCTGGCAATCAAGTGTCCTTCGCACTCCCTGACAACTGTGATTGGCTCAGAATGGACCCTGCAAGCTAAGTGGTCTGGAACCCTGGGAAGGGATGTTCCCTTCTGTACTCTCCTGGGAGATGGAGGAGGGCACCAAACAGTGATGACCCCTTAGTAGAAAAGGCCTCCCTGAGGAAAGAGCAAACCTATTGGAAGCACAGTAATGATGCGACACGGCCCAGTCCCAGTCGGTCCCAGCCCTGGACTCCAGATCCAGGACATAGGAGACGGAGCATCTATGAGGTCTCGGTTTTAGAAAGTCCAAGTATAGTGTCTCTCCTTGTCCCCTGAAGGGCGGTGAAGTAAGGTTCCCTCTGCACACAGGCAGAGCTAGATCTCTGCTGTGCGGTCCCCACACCCCAGCTGCGGCATCGTCGATCCAGCGTGGTCCCAGGTGTCTGGACCGGCTCTTTTCGTCCTGGACACTGCCCAATACCAGATGCACTCGGACTGCCAGCAGGTTCCCAGCCAGTTATCTGGACACCACTGAGCCACTGTGGGACTGGCCAGAGGAGGAGGAGGAGGTGGTGGCACTGAGCTGAGAGAAGCGGCTGGTGCAGGATTCCAGGCTGGACATGGAGCCCCTGGGGAAGAAGCATGTGCGCGCCTTAAGTTATCTCCCAGGCAAAAGCTGGTAACCCTGCAAATGAGGCCCCAGGGCTCCTTCCACGAGACTGCTAGCCACCAGGGACTAACCAATGCAGAGGGGAAAGCCAGCGACGCCATAACAAGCACCGAGGAGCTACCAGCTCCCTGCACCTAGTTCCCAGGGACCAGTCAAGCCTAGGGCAGCCGGAAACTGCGCTGAATAGGATGGAGCAGAAAAACGCACAGACTGGGAATATCTCTGTCCCAGGCTTGTTCTCTCCGGTTTTCTTCAGTCAAAACTGAGTAAGGTAGCACAAGTCTGTAAACCCAGCACTCAAGAGGTAGAGGCGGAGGATTGTGAGTCCCAGGCCAGCCTGGGCTACTGAGATGCACCTTCTGTCCAATTAACCCCACTCTAGAAATCAGAGCAGAGCAGACCGGAAAGACTTTCTAGTTCCTTTTGGTTTTCTGAGGAAGCTTCTTAATATGTAGCCCACACTGAACGCAAACTTGGGATCCTCCTGTCTCAGCCTCTTAAGTGCTACCACATATGCTACATGCGTTCTTTACAAGTGAAATAAAAAGGGATGGGCATAGTTCCATTAGTAAAGTGCCTGCCTGGCATGCATGGAACTCAGGGGTTTGATTCCCAGTATCACATAAAGCCAGGAATGGGCCGGGCGTTGGTGGCGCATGCCTTTAATCCCAGCACTCGGGAGGCAGAGGCAGGCGGATCTCTGTGAGTTCGAGGCCAGCCTGGTTTACAGAGCTAGTTCCAGGACAGCATCCAAAACAATACAGAGAAACCCTGTCTCGAAAAACCAAAAAAAAAAAAAAAAAGAAAGAAAAAAAAGCCAGGAATGGAGGTGCACACATGTGATCCCAGCACTTGGCAGGCCAAAAGATCAGAAGTTCAAGACCTTCTTCAGCCACATAGTGAGCCCAAGGCCAACCTATATTTCATGAGACTCTGACTCAAATCTAATGAAAAATTAAGATTAAATGTGAAAAGGGGGAGGAAACTGAAGACATTGCCTGCCCCACCTCCAGGCTGCCTGCTTCCCTTCTGAGTGCCTATTGTGTGCCAAGTATTATCCCTATTATCCGTGGTTCCCACTTAGCAGCTGGGCTTCCAAAACCTCAGAGCGTTGAAGCGACTTGTCTCCTCAGTTCAAGGCAACTGGGAAGCTCAGTGTGTGTGTGTGTGTGTGTGTGTGTGTGTGTGTGTGTGTGTATGTGGTGGGGGGAGGAGTCTTAATCCGTTCTAGAATATTTTAGAATAGTTGCAAACTGAAGAATTCAGGGTGAAGGGTGGTCCCACCTCTTCCCTCCTGGCCCGGTGCACTGAGGCCCTTGAAGGGAGGTTCTGCTGCTACAAAGAGTGAAGGTTCAGCGCTTGAGCCTGTCTCACGCTAAGGGACTCCTCTGAATTCCTAGAGAGGGCTATTGATGTCCACCCAGGAGAAACGTCCCCAGGCCACCGCATAGTCAGTCAGCAATCACAGAAGCCGCCATGTCTCCAGAGCAGGTGGGAGTTCCAGGTCCCCCCCTACCTAAAGTCTTCAGATGCCAGCACTTCACAATAGTACAACAGCTTGCTCTTGGGGCCAGGGCTGTGCAGAGCTGTCAGGACGTCACCCACGCCTGGGAGGCTGCAGGCCACACTCTCAGAGGGACTGTGAATCTGCCACTGGAGCAGGTAGATGCCAGGCAACTGAGTCACATGGGAACCCTGAAACACAGAACCCACAGTGAGACCAGGTCCTCCAGGGGGAAGAGATGGAGAGATGGGTTCCCCTGGGAACAAGATGGGGAGTTGAGTCCCTTTGGGAACAGTTTGGAGAGCTGCATCCCACTGTGGATGATACAGGGCATGGGCCTTTCTGATGCTATGTGGGACTGGGTCCTCCTGAGGACAAAATGGGGCACTGGGTTCTCCTGGAGACAGGATGGGAGGTTGACCCTTCGTGGATTTCCTGTAAACAGGCTTGGGAAAGGAGTCTCTTTCTATTTGGTCTTTTCCAATATCCCAGGAAATCCTTTATAAGTGTTTGTTTTCCAACACCTCCTTGTGGTGACTGCCATACCCAGGAACCAGAGCTTCCTGCTAATGTTGGGGAGTAGACACTAGGGTGTGGTGATGTAGGACAGCAGATGGATTTGTGGGATGCTGTCTCCGTTGATGAGGTGAGGTCTGCAATCAAAAGGGTTCTGAGAATGTGTTAGGGAGGATGTGTGGCTGGGAGGGAGGGGGAAGTGGAAAGGTTAGAGGGGGCAGCTCTGAGGAAACACTGTGGGGGTGTTCAGTGGGACGGTGGGAAGCTGGTTGTGACCCGCAAGAGTCATTTGTTCCACGGAACCTTTGGTAAGGTCTGTGATGCTCATGGAGTCAGAGGACTCTCACTGTGTGTGTGTGTGTGTGTCTGTGTCTGTGTGCATATGTGTGCATGTGTGTGTTTATGTGTAAATGTATATATGTGTGTATGAAAATATGTGTATGTACATGTATATGATTGAGAAAGAGTGAGAGTGAGAGAGAGAGAGAGAGAGAGAGAGAGAGAGAGAGAGAGAGAGAGAGAGAGAGAATGTGCAAGGGTATAACATTCCACTGGTAACACTGGCCTCGTGGGGAAATTGGGACAATGGGACAAGCAAGGTAGCTTACAGCCCAGTTACACATCCATGTTCTGGCCCTAGACCCATGGATTCTCAGCTACCATGCAAATCTTTGTACCAGAGTCATAGGGAGCAGAGATGTGGACTCCCAGCCCTACATTCGGAACTTCACAGTGGGGTGCTTGGGGGAATTCTGAGGTCCTGGGGTGCTGGATCTGGCTGCTGACATCAGGGCCTCATCACTTGCCGTCCCGTGCAGACTTCCTCAGGCTCCACAACTCACCCCAACCCCAGGACATCTCCAGCTTCTTTCTCCAGCTTGGTTCTCCCATCCCTTCCACCTGGGACATCACCTCTGCCTCTCCCAGCCCGGCCACCCTGAAGGCCCTCTCCTTTAATTAACTCATATGGGGAAGTGGGACTTGGGGTCCCAAAGCCCCATCCTCCACCCCCCATGAGGTGATGACAAGGGCTGAACAGTGTCCCCCTCCAAATCCATGTCCACCGAGAACCTTAGAGAGATAACCTTATTTGGATACCTCTCCCATTTTCCAGCTAAGGATTTAGGGTCAATCCTAAACATAACTAATGCTATCCTGACAGGAGAAAGTGAGGGGACTTGAGGCACAAAACAAAGACATGGAGGACAGAGCCATAGGAGGCAAGGATGGGGACTGCAGTTATGTGTCCACAAGCCGGGGCAAGAAAGAACCCTTCCTCGAGCTTTTAGGGAACCCCTGCAGGCTCCTTGACTCTAGACCTGTAGCCTCCTGAATTTGGAGACAAGAAATTTTGTTTGATTTAAATGTCACCAGAGGTGGTCATTTGGGGCCCCACGAGCATGTATGTGCTTGTGCATGAGTGTGTAAGTGCATGTCCACGCCTGGCTTTTTCTCCACCTGGGTTCAGAGGACCAAACCCAGGTCTTTGTGTTTACAAGACAGACAAGCACTTTACTGACTGTGCTATGGCCCTGCCTCACTTAGGCCATTTAGGCCCTTTAATGATTTCTTTTCCTCCTGGAGACACTGAAGCTCCAAAACCTCCCCAGAACTCCCGCTGACTCTTAGCTTAGCACCCCATCCTCCCTCCATGTTGCCTTCTGGAGTGGAGGGGGAACCTCCTATTACACAGACACTGTGGGCCTCTCTCCCCAATCACCCCGCAGAGTCCCAGAGACTGGGAGCCCATCCTCTTTGTCCACAGCTGTTTCCCCCAGAGACCTGGCCGAAGGGATGCTTGACACCCCATGCTGAGTTAGTAACCAAAGTCCACACCTACACACCTGAATGCTCTGGCCTTCTCGGCAGATGAGGGGTGCCTCTACACGGCTGTAATCTGCCCCGAGGACCCAGTTCTTGTCAATCAGCTGCCCGCTGGTTCTAGCCCCAGGCTCCTGGAGACCTAGCTTGGGTGCCTGCTTTACATGGTACAAACTGAACACCACGTCTCCTCGAAGGATGTCAAAGTCCCAGGTGATGACGGACTCTCCTTCTGGAATCTCCATGGCAACCTGCATAAGGGGAGCAGAGGTGGAGGAGTCCCAAGGTCAGGGCGTTCTTCTCTGGTCATCTATTGATCTCCTGTGGTCAGGATGAGCTGCTAAGACTACCCCACTATCCCCTCCTCCAAGAAGCCCGCCTCTCTGAAAGGCCCAGTCACTTGGGGCAAACTGCAGGTGCTGGGTGTGTAAGGACACCTAGGGATTCTGCACCCATCCCATGTCCCAGAGCTTCTTGTTGGATAGAGCTGAAGCTGAGTGACTGGAATCACCCCACACCCAATCTGAAGGAACATGATCCAAGACACCACCCCACCCATGCCCTCTCAAACCAGGTGGCCCCAAGTAGCACCTCATGGGGAGTTCCGTGGAACACACTAGCCGCATGGTAGGTCTCACTCCACTGCCGAAGCTGGTCAGCCTGCTCCTGCTCCTCTTCAGTCAGATACAGGGACTTGGGGACCAGGCCTCCTTCTGGAACATTACACTGAGGGGAAGTTTCAAACACAAAAGGTTGGCATGTCAGGGTTGCCTCATTATGTGCCCTGTGAGCCCTGAAACCGCATAGACAAGTGACCCCTATTGAGCTGGGCAGTGGTTCCTGTGACACCACCCTCTGAAGCCCTCAGAACCGATAGCAGGGTAAGATACACGCTTCTCGTTTAATGAAAGAGGGAAAAAATGGGGCCTTGGAAGAGGCCAGGCTGCTTTCCCAAGATCACACAAAAGAACATGGCTGACTGGGCACCAAACTATGTTTGGGTCAAGTGTGATGGTACATGTCTATAACCCCAGCATTCAGGAAGTTGAGGAAGGGGGACCCCAAGTTCTGGGCCAGCCTGGGCTAAACAGTGAGACCCTTCTTAAAAGCAAAACAAACAGGGCCTGGTGAGATGGCTAAGAGCACCTGTCAACAAGTCTGAACCTGAGTTCTATCCTCAGAACCCACATGTTGGAGGGAGAGACTGATTCCTGCAGGCCTTTTTCTAACCTCCATATTATGCACGATGTGGTATTTGCACACACACACACACACACACACACACACACACACACACACACACACGAAGATACAGAGACACAGAGAGAGAGACAGAGAGAGAAGATCCCTGAACTCCTAGCCCTTTCCATGGTGTCTGACTAGGTATGGTTCCCTCTTCTGCAATACACTCAAAGTGGGGGCAGCATCTTCCCTTCAGCAATGGGAACTGACCAGTACCGGGCCTGTCTAGTTCTTTAGATGTCTCCCAGGCAAAGGTGCCCGGGGTGGCCAAGCCTCAGATCCCAAGCATCGACACACAACAATTTTGAAAACAAAAGGGAAGGGAGGGCAACAGGACCTAGTCCTTGCCAACTGTTCTTCAGTAAGTCCCCGAGAGAGCTGTAGGCCTGTCACCCAAGAAGAAACCATACATCTGTATCACAAGAGCAGAGCACAGTCAGGCCAGACAGAGTTCCTAAGGAAACCATTTTACTGACAAGTGGCTTGCTGCCTGGTGTCTGTACTGGGGGACTGACAGGTGTACCCACAGATAGTCATGGGAATGAGAACAAGATCAGGCTTGCCCTCCTGGGTGGTGTAAGAGAGTCTGAATACCGCATTCCCTGTGCATCCTAGGTCGAGTGGCCATGGGGTGGGCCTGGCTCATTTACTACCTCTTAAAAAGATATGTTTATTTAGTATGTGTGTGTGTGTGTGAATTAATAATGCACACATCACACATGTGGGAGAAGGCCAAAAGAGGGTATTGGGTATTGGGGATCTCCCATCACACTGTCTACTCCTATGAGACAGGGTCTCTCCCTGAACCTAGGGCTCAATTCTCTCAGTAAGGCTAGAAGCCAGCAAGCCACCTCTGTCCTTGGGCCTCCTGTCTGCCTGCCCTGCATTTGTAACATTTGTGAATTCCTGCATTACTACATGAGTAATGGAATCCAAATACCAGTCCTTGTAATTGCATAGCAACTACTCAATTTTTGAACATTTATTTTATGTGTATGGGTCTTTTGCCGCATGTTTGTTTATGTACCACATGTAGGGGGTACCTATGGAGTTCAGGAGAGGGCACTGGATCTCCTGGGACTGGAGTTATAGCTGGATGTGAGCCCTCATGTGGGTGCTGGGAATCAAATCCAGGTCCTGTGGAAAAGCCACCAGTACCCTTAGCTGCTGGACCGTCTCTTCAGCTCAACAAGTACTCCTAAATGCTGCACCACCTCTCCAGCCCTCGCTGCCTTTGAAAGAACCAAAGGAAAGCCCCACCTCGAGAGATGTCACCTCTCTAGGGAAGTTTCTACAACCAGCCCTGTCCCCACTTGAGAGTAAGGGGGATCCCTAAGGTGAGAGTAAGGGGGATCCCTAAGGTGAGAGTAAGGGGGACCCCCTAAGGTGAGAGTAAAGGGGATCCCTAAGGTGAGAGTAAGGGGGATCCCTAAGGTGAGAGTAAGGGGGATGCCCTACGGTGAGAGTAAAGGGGTCCCCTAAGGTGAGAGTAAGGGGGATCCCTAAGATGAGAGTAAGGGGGATGCCCTACGGTGAGAGTAAAGGGGTCCCCTAAGGTGAGAGTAAAGGGGATCCCTAAGGTGAAGTAAAGGGGATCCCTAAGGTGAGAGTAAGGGGGATCCCTAAGGTGAGAGTAAGGGGGATGCCCTACGGTGAGAGTAAAGGGGTCCCCTAAGGTGAGAGTAAAGGGGATCCCTAAGGTGAGAGTAAAGGGGATCCCTAAGGTGAGAGTAAGGGGGATCCCTAAGGTGAGAGTAAGGGGGATCCCTAAGGTGAGAGTAAGGGGACCCCCTAAGGTGAGAGTAAGGGGGATCCCTAAGGTGAAGTAAGGGGGATCCCTAAGGTGAGAGTAAAGGGGATCCCTAAGGTGAGAGTAAGGGGACCCCCTAAGGTGAGAGTAAGGGGGATCCCTAAGGTGAAGTAAGGGGGATCCCTAAGGTGAAGTAAGGGGGATCCCTAAGGTGAGAGTAAAGGGGATCCCTAAGGTGAGAGTAAGGGGGACCCCTAAGGTGAGAGTAAGGGGGATCCCTAAGGTGAGAGTAAGGGGGATCCCTAAGGTGAGAGTAAGGGGGATGCCCTACGGTGAGAGTAAAGGGGTCCCCTAAGGTGAGAGTAAGGGGGATCCCTAAGGTGAGAGTAAGGGGGATCCCTAAGGTGAAGTAAGGGGGATCCCTAAGGTGAGAGTAAGGGGGATCCCTAAGGTGAGAGTAAGGGGAACCCCCTAAGGTGAGAGTAAGGGGACCCCCTAAGGTGAGAGTAAGGGGGATCCCTAAGGTGAAGTAAGGGGGATCCCTAAGGTGAGAGTAAAGGGGATCCCTAAGGTGAGAGTAAGGGGGATCCCTAAGGTGAGAGTAAAGGGGATCCCTAAGGTGAGAGTAAGGGGACCCCCTAAGGTGAGAGTAAGGGGGATCCCTAAGGTGAAGTAAGGGGGATCCCTAAGGTGAGAGTAAAGGGGATCCCTAAGGTGAGAGTAAGGGGACCCCTAAGGTGAGAGTAAGGGGGATCCCTAAGGTGAAGTAAGGGGGATCCCTAAGGTGAAGTAAGGGGGATCCCTAAGGTGAGAGTAAAGGGGATCCCTAAGGTGAGAGTAAGGGGGACCCCCTAAGGTGAGAGTAAGGGGGATCCCTAAGGTGAGAGTAAGGGGGATCCCTAAGGTGAGAGTAAGGGGGATCCCTAAGGTGAGAGTAAGGGGGATGTCCTACGGTGAGAGTAAAGGGGTCCCCTAAGGTGAGAGTAAAGGGGATCCCTAAGGTGAGAGTAAGGGGGATCCCTAAGGTGAAGTAAGGGGGATCCCTAAGGTGAGAGTAAGGGGGATCCCTAAGGTGAGAGTAAGGGGAACCCCCTAAGGTGAGAGTAAGGGGAACCCCCTAAGGTGAGAGTAAGGGGACACCCTAAGGTGAGAGTAAGGGGGATCCCTAAGGTGAAGTAAGGGGGATCCCTAAGGTGAGAGTAAGGGGGACCCCCTAAGGTGAGAGTAAGGGGGATGCCCTACGGTGAGAGTAAAGGGGATCCCTAAGGTGAAGTAAGGGGGGTCCCTAAGGTGAGAGTAAGGGGGTCCCCTAAGGTGAGAGTAAGGGGGGCCCCCTAAGGTGCTCTCCATCAGCTTCCTGACCCCAGGAGTGTGGGTTCCCAGGACCAGCAGGCAGACTCACCACACTCTCTCCTCCCAGGAAGTCAGGGATCACAGCCTTGTCCAGGTAGTCCACCAGGCCACCAGGGCCCTGGTAATTACTGCCACTGTAGATGAGGAACTTCCTCCTGGTGTTCTCATTGATGAAGGGGCTGACCTGGGGGCAGGGCAAGGTCCAGTTATAGAGCAGAGAATCGGAATCAGGGCTTTAGTGGCTGGTTTTATTTCATTTTGTTTGTGTTTGATTGTGTTTATTTATTTTTATTTTATTTTATTTGGTTTTTCGAGACAGGGTTTCTCTGTGGCTTTGGAGGCTGTCCTGGAACTCACTTGGTAGTCCAGGCTGGTCTCGAACTCACGTTTTTTTTTTCTTTGTTTTGAGAAGGGTTTCACACTGTGTCTCTTCCTGCCTCAGCCTCTTGGCTGCTGGGACTACAGGCATGCACCACGACCTAGCTCAGAATCGATCTTTTTAAAAACATTTTTCTCCAGGTGTTGGTGGTGCACTCCTTCCATCCCAGCACTTAGGAGGCAGGGGCAGGTGGATCTCTGTGAGTTCCAGACCAGCCTGGGCTACAAAACAAATGCCAGGATAGGTTCCAAACCCTGTCTCGAAAAACAAACAAACAAACAAAAAAACAAATGTATTTTATATGTCCTTATTTATTCTGGGGTGGGCAGCTTTTGGGTGTTCTATCTCTCCTCTGGAGTATGTTCCAGGGATTGAAATGGGGTGGTCAGGGTTGGCCACAAGCCTTCTTCCCTGCTGAGCCCTGTCACCTGCCCCAACTTGATCCCAAGCACAGCATAAACTAGGCATGGTGGTACATGTCCATAATCTCAACACTCTTGATGCTAGAAGCAGGATTAGAAGGTCAAGGTTATCCTTGGGTGAGTAGTGAATTTAGGCTACCTTAGGCTAAATAAAATCCTCACTTTAAAAAGGAAAACATACCAAGACTACAAAAGTCAAGCCTGTGTGTGTTTATACAACTCCTTTTGGAGTTGAACAAGATAGAAAACTCAAAGGAAATCATATCAACTTAAAATATAGCCATTTTAGAACTGGAGAGATGGCTCAGCGATTAAGAGTACTGGCTGCTGTAACAGAGAACCCAGGCTCAATTCCCAGCACCCACATGCAAGTTCACAACTGTCTGTAGCTCCAGTTCCAGGGGATCCGACACCCTCACACAGACATACATGCAGGCAAAACACCAATGCATATAAAATAAATCATTACAAATTATATATGTGTATGCATATACCTATTTTGTGTCAAAAAAAAGCACTATTAAGTGAAAAAGATATCCTGGTGACAAATATATTAATCTAAGCTTGCAATCATCGGGAAGTTTTATCTGCTGAATCCTGCTACCAGCCCTGACTTGATTTTTTTTTTTTTTTGAGACAGAGTCTCACTATGTAGACCTGGCTGTCCTTAAACTCAATATATAGATCTGACTGGCCTAGAACTCACAGAAATGCTCCTGCCTCTGCCTCCTGAGTGGACATGACTCAGTCAGTGAAGTGCTTGTCACACAAGCACAAGGAACTGAATTTGGATCTCCAGACCACACATGTAAAAGAAAAAAGCGGGGTTGGGGTGAGCAGTGTCTGGTGAATCCCTGGGACTCTCTGGCCAACTAACATAGCCTAATAGTGAGCTCCGGGTTCAGTGAGAGACCCTGTCTCAAAAACTAAGGTGGAGAGCCCTGACGAAGGACACCCAAGGCTGACCTCTGACTACCACACGAATGTACATATGTGCACTTGCACCTGACATACATGTGCACCCACGTGAATACACACCTACGCACAAAGGCATAAAGTAAAAAGTGCAGGCTTCACAGACTTTTGTTACCTTCATCATGTCATAAACCCCCTACCATAATCCAGTCACATTTCCACCTCCTGGAGGACCCTGACTACTTTGGATCTGCCTCATTTCTGCGAAATCTGTGCGTTCAGGATCACTCAGGTGGAGGAGTCACCCGCTGTGTGGCCCCACCCTGGCTCACCAGCGTCCACAGCACCGGGAATACGCGGGGCGCGCGCACGATGAGCAATCGGCCCAGGGTCTCGGGGTAATTGTCCTCCACCACCTCGATCATCCGCAGCAGGGCCTTCACTCCCGGCCGCCACAGATGCCGCATGTTGAGGCCCTCCAGGTCCAGTAGGCAGGTCCAGGAGCTGTGACAGACACAGGAGCTCGGGCTCTACCTGGTTCTGCCACCTCCCAGGGCCTCCAGCACTGCCCCCACGCCCCCCCCCAAGGCACCTGGGATGGAGAAAAGGGCTCAAGAAGGCAGAGCTGGGAACAGGGACACAGGACACTTTCACAGTCCCTGTAGGTTACTCAGCCCAGGAATGGAAATGTGCGGGAGGAAGAGGGAGACAATGGGTCGCTAGAGGGGACAGGTAGCTTAGGAGCTGAAGAAGGCTGGCCTTAGGAAGCGATGGGGAGGAGCTATGGAGCTGAGGGTGGAGCCCGTCAGGAACAGCTCAGCCAGAGTCCCAGTTTCTCCACCAGCAAAACCCGGGGGCAGAAAGGGGCCCTGCCTCACCAGATCATTGTAAGAACTAGGAGACAGCATTGTCCCACTGCGCCTAGCTAGCCGGCTACCTGGCCACGCACGTGCGCAGTCAGTGTTAGCTAGCCTGCTTTAGGCGTTTCTGCCCCCAACTCGGGTCCTTGCCTGATTGGACGGCCAAACTGTCTCGTGTTCCCTTCGCATCTCTTCTGTCCTTCCTCGTTGACGGAAAGAACCTGGAAGGCAGGCAAGGTACTGACAAGAGTTGACTACGCGGCTTCGCCCACAGGCCCCTGACGTCAGCAAAGGACCACTCACGTGCTGCAGCAGCGCCTCCTCGCCCACTGCCTTCATCAGGCCTTTGGTGTCCATCTGGCCCAGGCGCAGGATGTAGAGTGGGCGACCATCTTTGCGGGTGGGTGGAGCCCAGCAAAGAGAAGAGAGATCTTTTAGGGGAGTGTTGACAACATGCACCAGTCAAAACTATACACAAGAGCTTAACTCGCCCCTTAGGAGCAGAGGTCATGCTGAGGGTTTACCAAGGGACCCAGCACGCTTACTGTGCCTGCTTCGGACAGCAACTGCCACCTCTTAGGAAAACGGAACACAATGACACATTCAAAAATGGAGCAGGGAGCCTGAGTCAGATGTGGGGGACACCTGCTCCATCCCAACACCTTTTCTGCCTGAAATTGAACTCAGTAGTTTCCTTGTGTTTTGTTTTGTTTTGTTTTTAGGGATGGGAAGATTGCTTAGTCCAGTGCCCAGGTCCCATGTCTTTTTGTTTGGTTTGTTTTTAAGCCAGGCAGAGCCACGAACAGTGATGCATATGAGCATACCTTTAGTGCCAGCAGGAGGCAGAGACAGGTGGGTCTGTAAGTTTGAGGGCAGCTTGGTAGTGTGTAGCTGTAATACCAGTGCTGGGGAGTCAGAGACAGAAGGGTCCCTGGGGCTTCTGGCCGTCCAGCCTGCTGTCGTGTAACCACTGAGCTCCAGGTCCAGCGAGCCACCCACACCAAACACTGACGCTGTCTTCTTGTCTCCACCCTCACACACGACTGTGCGAGAGCTGTGCTCTGGGAAGCTACCTGAACCCGGAACTGGGGAATGCCAACCACGACTTCTGGGGATTCGGAGTTAGGTCCCTTTGAGAGTCTTGTCACATTTTTGTCTCCTTGTCACCAGATAGCCTTGCCTCCTGCATTCCTATCTAAGCACATTATAATACAGACTGTGGATTCACTGAACTTGACCTCAAAGCCGGGAGGCCCGTAACTTACTGAGCACAGTGTCTTCTATAGGAGGGCCCGACGCAAGAGCCACTGCTCCAGTCCTGCGCTCTAACTGTCACTTTTGCTTGTCTGTCCCTCTTGTAGTACCAAAGTTGGGAGCCAGGGCCTCATACAGGCAGGTGCCCATCCACTAAGTCATGTCTCCAGCTCAGTCTTCACTTTATGTTTTCAAATAGGGTCTCACTAAGTTCCCAGGCCAGCCTTGAACTCGTTCTGCAGCCGACACATGCTTTAAACTTGCAATCCTCCTGCCTCAGCTGCTGAAGTAGCTGGGATGTTAGCCCTGAACTACTAGGCAAACAGTACTGGCCATTTCAAACAGCAACATAGCCAACAAAAAAAAGTTTCAAAAATTGAGAGGTAGAGAGATGGCTTAAGCAGTTTAAAAAAGCACACTGTTCTTTCTGAGGTCCAGAGTTCGGGTGCCAGCACCCACAGCAGGCAGCCACAGCTGCCTGTAACCCCAATTCCAAGGGATTCTGGCTTCTGTGGACACACACACACACACACACACACACACACAGAGACAGAGAGACAGAGACAGAGACAGAGAGACAGAGAGACATAGAGCATTCAAACACACACAAAAAGAAATCTTTCCAAAACACAAAAATGTCACAAATAAGGCACAGGAAAAGGACACTTGTTTAGGATGACGCAGATACAAGAAGATACATGGACTGATAAGATGTCTCAGTGGTTGGGAGCACTGGCTGCTTTTCCAGAGGACCGAGGGTTCAATCCCAACAGCCACCCACAAAGCAGCTCACAACTGTCTGTGGTGCCAGTTCCAGGGGATTCAATATCTTCTTTAGGTACACATGTGCTGCACAGACATACAGACAGGCAAAATATCCATCCATATAAAATAAGAAAAAAAGAAGGCCCAGCATGGGCTTGGCCAACCTCAATAGAGATACTATGTGCTAGATGACTCGTGTGTGTGTGTGTGTGTGTGTGTGTGTGTGTGTGTGTGTGTGTGTGTGCGTGTGTGTGTGGCGTGTGTGTGTGTGTGTGTGTGTGTGTGTGTGTGTTATGTGTGTAGAGGCCAGAGGTCAACATCAGATATCAGATGTCATCCTCTATATCTTTTAATCAATTTCTTTATTTGTCTATTTATTCTCTCCACCATGACTTTTTGTTTTTCTTTCTTTTCTTTTTTTTCTCCCTAAGACAGGGTTTCTCTGTGTAGCCCTGGCTATCCTGGAACTACCTCTTGCAGTCCAGGCTGGCCTCGAGATCAGAGATCCTCCAGCCTCTGCTTCCTGAGTGCTAGGATTAAAGGTGTGTGTAATCACCACTCAGTGTCCATCATATTTTTATGTGACAGGATCTCTTGTTAAACCTAGAGCTCACCAATTTGCCTAAATTGGCCAGTGAGCCTCAGATAGCCCCTGTCTCCACATCGCAGACTACAAACATGCAACTGCACCTGGCTCTCCAGTGAGTGCTGGGGATTGAACTCAGGGCCCCTTCTTGCACAGCCAGCACTTTACTGACTGAGCCATGCCCCAAGCCCCTCAGAGCACTGAAAAATTTTACCATTACACACATGTCCTTAAACAAACTCCTAGATTTGGGGATTTCAAAGTAGCAAGTAGGGAGAGCTCACAAATATGGAAGCCATGAGTAAGGAGTCAACTACGTGCTAAGAAACCACCCGGCCTATTCTTCAGGAGGCCAAGCATTTGCCATTAGCAGCATGTGCACCATTTTTCATAAAAGTCCTTAAAGAGCATAGAAGTCATTGGCTTTGTGGCTCTATACTTTTTAAATCTGGAAAGGGTATCTACAGTAGGAAGAATAGTGTCCACCAGAACCTTCAGATGGGACCTGGGTTGTAAATGGAGTTGCAGATGTCAATTAAGGACCTCAAGATAAGAGCGGGTTGGATGTGGGGTGGGTTCTAAATGACCTCCTGTAAGGTGGCAAAAGGACACACAGAGATACCCACAGGGAAGACCGTGTCAAGTGGGAGCAGAAATCAAGAACGATACAGCCACAAACTCAGGAACCATCAAAAGCTGGAAGAGGCTGGGAAGGACTCTCCCCTAGAGCTTCTTGGCTCCATTTGTTTGTTTGCTTGCTTGCTTGCCTATGAATGACAGGATCTCTATCTAGTCCAGGCTGGCTTTGAACTCACTACATAGCTGAGAACAACCCCCCACCAACTGAACCACATCCCTAGCCCAACCTCCAGAGCTGGCATCTGTGGTTTTGGTGCCAGCTCGCTATAGCTACCTAAGCAAATCCATACTATATTGACGAGAGTGTGACATTGTGATGGCCCTGGGGCAGAAACACCTTCCCAAGACCAAAATCTATGCCTATTCCACCTTCTGCATAGCTGTGTAACATGTCACAAGTATCTCCAGGTGCCCAGGAAATCTAAACGGGAACCTGAGATGTCAGTATGGGGTGCATCATTTAGAGTGTCCTCGGCATTCGCACACAGCTCAGGTGTGAGACGCACCTATATCCTGGTAGTGCCAGCCTCCGGCATAGAACTCCTGCAGGGGAGCAGGAGGCTGCCAGGTCTGCAGAAGGTGATCCACCTGGTGCTGCTTCCGCCAGCTCAGGGACTGGCACAGCATGTCCCGGGCCTTCTCCAGGTGGAAATCTCGTGCCCGCAGGAAGCGCAGAATGTGCTCATCTTTGGGGATCTGAGAGACAGGGAAAAGACCACAGAATGGCACTTCCAACCCTTCAGACAAAGCGACAGAAACGAGACTCTACCTCATCTGCAAAACAGCTGGGGAAAGTAGCCCAAAGCAAAGAGGTGGGTGCCTGTGGTGAACAGCTGTGCATTGTGGCTGCCTAGCATCCCTCCCTGCTTGTCTTGGAAATAGCACCCTTCCTTGGGGTGACTTCTCCTCCTCTCCCTCCCTCCTCTCCCCTCCCCCTTCTACTCCTCCTCCTTTCCCAATATAACATCGGTGCAAAACCAGTCCTAGCACAAGCTGTCTTTTCTGGGGTTCTTCCTTTGAGCCAGATTCCACCCCAAGCATTTGATGTGGATCCGTGCTTGTGACCCACGTGATATGAACAATGTTCCCATTTTACATTTGCAGACGTGGAAGCAGACAGGTCATGCCATAGGCCAACACTAAGCAACTCTCTTGCCTGGCCCCAGGGCTGGGGAGGGAAAGGTAAACGATCCATGTAGTCAATAGAACTGACAACAGAGTCCTTCTTGGGACTGAGGTATGTGGTGGTGTGCATGTTACTGGAGCTGGATCTTAAAGGAGAAATTTAGACAAACCGCAACCACCCTTATCAAGTCATATGACCCTTAGAAAAGGACAGTTGTGTCCATGGTCAAATGAGCATGGTACTATATAGCTATGATTCTCAATTGCACTTGATCTCTCTCTCTCTGTCTCTGTCTCTCTGTCTCTCTCTCTGTCTCTCTGTGTCTCTGTCTCTGTCTCTCTCTGTCTCTCTGTCTCTCTCTGTCTCTCTGTCTCTCTCTCTCTCTCTCTCACACACACACACACACATACACACATCCCCAGGGGACATATGCCCATGCCAAGGGCCATTTCGAATTGTCATACCTGGATGGGGCAAGGTACTGGCATCTACTGATGTAACCTAGGGATGTTACTAGGCATCCTACAACACACATAGTAAACACCTACTCCAAAGAACTTCCTGGCCCCTAACATCACTAGCAGAAGGGTAGTGGCATCAGTATGTGTAAAGGACAGACAGGAAAATGAATCAAAATGTAAATTTTTGGTATTACTGATAGCATAAGCTTACTTGTCTTTCCTCCCCACTGCCCTAGGCTGACCCCTGTCATTAAAGCGCATGCACCATACCCACCTTGCCTTTGTGAGTCTCCTGTAACCAGTGCCGAAGCTGGACCAGGCAACTCTCCTGCATGGGAGTGAGATGGCCCAGGCACCTCTCGATGTAGTCTGCATCCAGCTTGTCCCCTTGAGGGAGGAAAACCGGGGATTTCAGGGCAGGGGAAGAGAGGGGGCTATCCTCCTCTCCCCTTCCATTTTTTTTTTGAGATGGGGTCTCCTGTACTCCAGGCTAGATTCAAATACACTGTATAGCAGAAGCTATCCTTGAGCTCCTGGTCTTCCAACCTACACCTCCCGAGTGCTGGGCTACAGGTATGTGCCACCACATGTGGTGTCTTCGGATTACTATTGCTGGGATGAAACCCTGTGACCAAAGCAACTTGCAGAGGACAGGGTTTATTTGTCTTACACTTCCATCGTAGAAGGAAGTAAGGAGAGGAACTCAAGCAGAGCAGGGACATGGAAGCAGGAGCTGGAGCTGGTGCAGAGGCCATGGAAGGGTGTTGCTTCCTGGGTGGTTGCTGCTCATCATGGCTTGCTTGGCCTGCGTTCTTGTAGAAGTAAGGACCATCTGTCCAGGGGTGGCCCCACCCACAATGGACTGGGCCCTCCCCCATCAGTCACTAATTAAGAAAATGCCCAACAGCCAGATCTTATGGAAGCATTTTCTCAGTGGGGGTTCCCTCATTTCAGGTAATTCTAGCTTGTGTCAAGTTGACATAAACGTAGCTAACACATCTGGTGACATGGGTCTTTACCGCATGGCCTACATTCTGTGTGGCCCTCTCTACTTGCCAGCAATTGAGCTCTGGAATGTGGTTCCTCGCCAAGCTGTGGACACAGCCACAATGGCTCCAAAGTCATCTTTCTAAATGGCTACCTAGATGGTTTTGAAAACTTACACTGGGCAAACCTGGACATTACTCCCCACAGGGACTTCCCTCCAGGCCTTGGTATGGAGATGATTCTCACACTCTGAGCTGAGGTTCTGAAGACTGTCAACTCCCAACCTTTACTTTCCATTTTCAATATCGTATCGTGACCACTTTCTATACCATAAAGACTGAACTATGCCCAGACATGGTAGTGCACACCTATAAATTCAGCACTTGAGAGGTAGAGACAAGAGAATTAAGTTAAAAATCAGTCTGAGATGCATGAGATAATATCTCAAAAATAAATAAATAAGGCCAGGCATGGTCCTAGGACTGTACTCAGGAGGCAGAGGCAGACTGATCTCTATGAATTTGAGGCCAGCCTGATCTACATAGTAAGTTTTAGGTCAGCCAGAGACACATGGTAAGACCCTGTCTCCAAAAATAAAATAAAATATATAAAATGATGCTGTTCCATGTATATAGTACATATACTTTTTCATCCTTGATTACAAAGATGCACCACAATATACAATTTAATATTTGTAATTAAAACATGTACATGTGAGTATATGCACAAACCACACACACATGCAAACTTAAGGCAGACATAATGATGCACACCTATAATACCAACACTAGAGAGGAGAAGGCAGGGGGATCGGGAGTTCATGGTCACCCTCAGCTCCACGACAAATTCAAGGTCAGTCTGGGCATTTGAGACCCTGTTTTAAAGCAAACGAAAAACTATGGGGTTGGTGGGATGGCTCATTAGGTAAAGGCATTTGCTACCAAACCTGATGACCTGAGCTTGATCCCCAAAACCCACATGGTGGAGGGAAAGAAATGACTCCCACAAGCTGTCCTCTGGCCTCTACTAATGAGCTCTCTCTCTCTCTCTCTCTCTCTCTCTCTCACACACACACACACACACACACACACACACACACACGCACACACACACTATAAGAGTTCATATACTATATGATTTATATTAAGTTCTAAAGTAGGCTAAAATAGCCTGCATTGTGCCTGTAAGCTCAAGGTCATCCTCATCTGCGTACCAAATCCAGGGCCAGTCTCTGTCTCAAACAATAATGATAACAATGAACCAACATTAATAAGTAAGACGTAAAGTGTCCTGCGGTGCTATGAAGTATGAGGGTATGCATGCTATTCTTGTAACATTAGTGAGAAATTGTAAAGCACAAACCGGACGCATGGCATGCTCCCACCTGTTCTATATTTTCTAAGTGTGAGGGTGCATGTGCACATGTAGGTGGGGGGGGGGTGAGCCCCTCATGTACCATATGCCCCTAGCTAGCTTCATGAAACACGAAACTATTGAAGATTCTAAAGAGAGGGGGAGGACTCTCCATCCTTTTCTTTCATGTGTGTCTGTGTGTTCATGGGTGTATAACAGATGAGCGTGCCTATGAGTACACATATGTAAAGGTCAGTCTCAGGTGTGATTTACAAGTACCATCTTCCTCGGTTTTGTTTGAGGCAGAATCTCTCACTGGCCTAGGGCTCTCCAGGTAGGACCAATTAGGCTTGGCTGGTACCTCTCCAGTGCTAAGATTATGAGTGGGTGTCACTATGCCTGCTGGCTTTTGGGGGGCCGCGAATTCATGCAAGGCAAGCACTTTATTGACTGAACCAACCTCTCCAGCCCTTACTTCTCACTTTCCATCTTCCAGTTTGTTTAGATATTTTGCTACCATGACCTTGCATTACTCATGCAACTAAAAATATCCTCAAACCACCAGAGGTCAGTTCCTGGTCTAGAAACAGATCAACTCTGAGAAGCAGAGGGAGGAGGCCAGCAGGTACCAGACTGTCCCCAACCCTGGCAACCTCCAGCACCTCTCCCTCCTCTCAGGGAGTCAGGCAGTGTGGCAGGCTTTCTAGAGCCAGAGGTGAGAGCACTGACTCTCTGTGGCCACCTACCATCAGCTATGGCCATCTCAGGATCAGGGCCTGGGACATCACTAGGACCATCTGTCTCCGTGGGGCTGGGGCACCGGTGCATAGCCTGGCTGCGGGCATCTTCCTCCCGGACTGGGGCAGGTGTCCAGCGGGGAATGTGAGATGTCCCCTGGGAAATGAGCTCACTCAGGTAGTGCTCAATCACCTCTTTCCCCTGGAAGCAACAGACCCAAAGATGTCACCAAGCAAGCAGCACTGTGAGGTCACCACACCAGCTCTGAGGAACCACGCATGCTCAGGTCCCAGCCCTGGCTCATTGCACAGCTAAAACATGGCCAAAAGGAGTGGAGATGAGCAAGACTAAACACAGAACAGATGCAAAGAGCTCAGTTTTATATTTAACACTTCAGGTAAAGTACACCACCAGAGGCCGACTGTTCGCCTGGTGAAGTCTGAGGCCGCTGGACCAAGCAGTGACTTTGTGATATTAGGAGTGAAACCCAATGTCTTTCCACATGATAGGCATGTGCTCTACTACCCAGCTACACCTCCAATGCCTCACTGGAGGATTAGGGAGGTTTTTTTTTTAAATTGTTGAGCCACACCCTCAGCCCCTCACTGGTGGGTTCCAGGCAGGTATTGCACCACTAAGTCATGCCCCTGGCCTTAGCGACACTTTTCTTTTTGTGGTCTGGTTCTGGGAATTGAAGCCAGGGCTAGGCAAATGCTCTCCACCACTGAGCTAGGCCTCCAGCTATTTGTCTCGCTGAGTTGCCTAGGCTAGCCTTGAACTTGCTGCAGCACCCGGAAGTGCTGAGACGATGTCAGGGTACCTCCAGTGCAAGCCAGTTCTTCCCACTTGGTGGCCACCCTGATAGGGTCATGACCACACTGTCTGTCTTAGAAACAAGAAGACTGAGTCCCAGGAAAGTCGGGGCTGTAGCCCAGTGTCATGGGGGTTATTGGCGGCAGAGGGAGCCTGTGCTCCTTCCTGTCATGGCTAGCACAGCCTCTCACCCTCTTGACATTGGCAGTGTACTGCTTCATGGCGATCTTCTCCAAGGTGCTTTCAAAGCCAAAGAAGGATCGGACATCCAGGGAGGCAGACTGTTCAAAGCAAGTCCAGTCTTCATTCTCAGGATGGACCTGCGAGATGGGAAGGGACCATGGCAGGACCTCAGAGTGGGGGTGCTGTGCCCTCTCCAGAGGCCACCAGAGCCTGCCATGGACAGCATTTCCCACCAGACAATGATGCAAAGTCTAAGTGCAGGCAACAAAGCTCTTTCTCAAGCTGGGCATGGTGGTGCACACCTATAGTCCCAGCGCTGAGAGGCTGAGGCAAGGCAATCGTTTGCTCCAGGCCGGCCTGGTCTACAGAGTGAGTTCCAGGACAGCCTGGGCTATGTAGAGGCCCTGTCTCAAAAGGAAAGAAAGAAAGAAAAAAAGAAAGAAAGAAAGAAAATCACATACACAAAGAGAGATAAAATTGTATATGTGTAATGCTCAGATCATTTATATAATATAATTATCAATATGTGTTTGGATATATTTCAATATTTGTGTTATATATTTATATACAAAGATACTAAATATCCTTACATGTCCATAAATATATTTATGTATGTCAGCAATTAAAAGCAATCTTAGCTGGGCATGCTGACACACACCCATAATCCAGCACTCAGGAGGCTGAGACAGGAGAATGGAAAGTTTCTAGATCAGCCTGGACTATATAGTGACATTTGGTCTGAAACAAGGAGATGGGAATAAAGACTACTCACGAGGGGCCAGGAGAATGTGGGAAGGGGAGACTGGAGGGACACACAGGACGCAGCCCTGGGACAGCATCAGGGCACACATAGGCCAGGCAAGCTCACCGTGTAGCGGCAGCTCTCCTTCACGGTCACTCGGCTCGAGAAGGTCTCATTGTGCGCATCTATCAGCAGCGTTCTCTCTCTCCAGTTCAGCACGTTTCTCTGAACGAAGACCACGTGCTCCACACCGGCAATCTGCAGAGGACGAGCCCAAGGGAGAGGAACTAGCCCGCAGGTCACCCACCCTGATTCCTGATCTCACTCATCCCACACAGCCTGGGTCACCCGTTAGCTAGGACTTCAAGTTCCCCCAGTCCAGAAACTGACACCCTGCTCCCTCTGTCACCCAGTCCAACAACAGACACCCAGCCTGGGAGGGACGACCCCTGCTCTCACCACCATCCACACTGGCTCAGGCCGCGTCCAGCACTGAACTCAGGTCCCGTGGGCACTCAGCCTTTTCCAAAAACGTCCACCACCATCAAGCCAAAAGTCCGCCCACCCACGCACCTATCAGGTGTCCTTTGTCCTGCCACCAGACAGCCTGGCCCAGCCCTCTCCCCAGTCACAGAACTGCCGTCCAAGCACCTCCTCCACCAGCTGTGTCCCAAACCCTGAGACCCGCACCACCCCACTGAACAAGCCTGGATTCTCACCTGGCTCTGGTTCCCAGACCCTGTGCCTGGACTCCCTGGCTGTTAGTACTCCCAGGTCTCGAGGCTCCAACCTTCCCATTCCACTGCAAGTGAACCCGTTCACACCCCGCACACCCAGACACCCGGTGCTCACCTTCCGCAGCAGCCGCGGGGCGTCCACACGCAGCCGGCAGCTCCGTTCCACCGTGTGCACAGCCCCATCTGCGCTTCTCCACTCGCCCAGGATTTCGCTACCCAGGAAAACAGGAATGAGAGGGCAAGTGGGGAAGCGCTTCTCGTAGGCCTGTGGACAGAGCAGAGCAACAGTGAGCGGGTACTTCCTTCCTGAGAGCGACTGTCCCTCGACAGAAGCACCCAACCACAATGACAACACGCACGCAGTGGTACACACTTTTGGGGGGATTTGTTTGTTTTTGTTTTTGGGGGGTGGGTTCTTTTGTTGTGTTTTGTTTTTGTTTTTTGGTTTTGGTTTTGGTTTTGATACAAGGTCTCTCTGTGTATCTCTGGCTATCCTTTGTATTCCACGCTGGCCTCGAACTCACAGTGATCTGCCTGTCTCTGACACCCAAGTGCTGGGATTACAGGCATGCACCACCACCTCCTGACCAATACACACTTTTTAAATTTTTCATTTATGTATCATGGTGGCATTAGGGAATCGAACCCAACCAGGCAAGCACTATAACACTGAGCTACATCCTCAGACCCTTTTACTTTTTATTTTGAGACAGGGTCTCCCAAAGTTAATCCGCTTGACCTTGAACTCACTCTGAAGTCCAAAGCAGCCTCACAGCCTCCTCAGGCAAGGGTGATGGCCTGGGCCAACACTAAGAGAAAAAAAAATGTTTTTTCTCAGAAAAGGTATTCCTGAGTCTTTCTAACTTTGGCCAAGTAGAATGACTTCTGCACACACACAAAAAAAGTTTCCCAAAAAATAAGGGCTGTTCTGCCAACCACAGGATGTTCCTGGGAATATACCACCAACACTGGCATGAGCCATCCATGGAGGGGCTCCAAGAAGCATGACTCTCAACCCTCAGAGAAGTCTGGAAATTTGCATCAAGGACGTGGGACTCCAGACGTGCACATTAAGAAGGAATATTCCGTGTCATGTGCATGTATGCTTGTCCAGAAAACGTAATGAGAGTGGGGATTCTCCACACAAGCTGTGATCTGGTCACCTGTGACCCCATTACCATTACCACGTACAAGCGGATGAGAACTAACTGTTGAGTGTCAAATGAAGTCACACAACCGCCCTGCAGGTGGGAAATAGAGACGAACACAGAGACGAAGAGACAGAGAGAGAAAATTCAGCACCCCTTTCTGACTAAAAACCACCAATAAACTGGAGTCACGTAGGAAAAATCCATAGTCAAGTTAATACTCAAGGGCGAGAGACTGAATACTTTGCCCAGCAAGTCAGAAATAAGACTCAGGTGTGAGTCCTCATTTCTATTTAAAACTACAGTTCAGGTTCAGGCCAGGAATCCAGTCTGAAAGGAAGTGAAACTATTTCTATTTATAGACAACATTATCTTACAAAAAGAATCTTGCAATATCTCTACACACACACACACATGCACACACTCACCCACGCACACACGCACATGTGTGCGAGTGCACACTATTAGATCTGATAATTAAGCTCAGTAAGGTCACCGGATACAAAATTCACATGTTATACAAATTCAGACTGGGAACTAGCCCTGGATTCTGCCCCCAGAATTACAAAACAGAAACCACAGGAGTAAATCTTGTGACCCTGAGGTAGTCAATGTTGCTCAGTTGTGACACCAAAATGAAAACTGAACTGGGCATTACTTGAGACTTTGTGGCTTTAATAGACCCCATCAAGAAAGTGAAAGTAGGGACTAGAGAGATGATTCAGCAATTAAGAGCACTTGTTAGTCTTACAGAGGACCCTGGTTCAATCCCCAGCACCCACATGGCAGCTCACAACCATCTATAGCTGCATTTTCAGGGGATCTGATGCTCTGTTTGACCTGTTGGCCTGAGGTGCATAGACACACATGCAAGCAAAACAGTCAAATACATAAAATAAAATAAGCAAGCAAGAGTGGAAGGGTGTGGAGAAACGGCTCAGAGGTTGTGAGCATTCACTACTTTCAAGAGGACCTGAAGCCACAGTGGTGGCTCACACCTGCCTTTAATGGTCTCTTCTTGCTCTGAGGACACCTGCGCTCGCGCACGCGCGCGCGCATGCACACACACACACACACACACACACACACACACAGTTATTGAATTTTTTTAAGAAGAAAGAAAGGATAGCTTGAAAGGTAAAGGCACCCCTCAACAAGCCTGAAAACCTGAGCTTAATTCCCAAAACCTACATGGAAGAGAGAATCAACTCCCATATACCCATTGCAGACATACACACAATAAATGGGGGAAAGTTTAAGAAAAGAATGAAAGAAAGTTGGGCGGTGGTGATGCATCTCAGAGTTTGAGGCCAGCCTGGTCTACAGAGCAAGCTCCAGGACAGCCAGGACTGTTTCACAGAGAAACTCTGTCTCAAAAAAACAAAATTAATTAATTAATTAGAAAGAAAAAAGGAGCCGGGCATTGGTGGCACATCCCTTTAATCCCAGCACTAGGGAGGCAGAGGCAGGTGGATCTCTGTGAGTTCCAGACCAGCCTGATCTACAGAGTGAGTTCCAGGAGAGCCTCCAAAACAATGCAGAGAAACCCTGTCTTGAAAAACAAACAAACAAAAAAAGAAAGAAAGAAAAAAGGATTAAACAAGGTTAAAATGAACCAGACATGGTGGTACACACCTATAATTCCAGCACTCAGTAGGCAGAGCCAGGAAAATCAACACAAGTTCAAGGCTTGCTTGTTTTACATTGTGAGCTCCAGGCTGAAAATAGCACTCTGTCTCAGGGGGAAAACAAAAACAAAAACAAAAACAAAAACAAAAAACCTTGAATGCACACACATAATCCCAGCACTTAGGAAATGGAGGCAGGAGGATAATCTTCTAGAATGTTCAAGGCCAGCCTGAGGTACATGAGACTCTGTCTCAAAAATTATTAATTAATAGTTGAAAACTAAATATCTGATGCAAAAATGTATGTGAATATAGACACATAAATTCAATTATAGCCAGGCGTTGGTGGCACATGCCTTTGATCCCAGCACTTGGGAGACAGAGGCAGGTGGATCTCTGTGAGTTCAACGCCAGCCTGGTCCACAGAGCGAGTGCCAGAATAGGTTCCAAAGTTACACAGAGAAACCCTGTCTCAAAAAAATTCAATTATAAACATTGCTAGCAAGCATTTATAGTATATGTAGAGAATATGATATGTGTCTATAACTATATAAATGTGTGCAGAAAAGCATATGTTCTACATACAATCATATAAGTAGTTTAAATATGGTACTCATTTTACATGTGAACATATTTACCATAGTACATACATATGGATGGTTTAGGGGGATGGAACCCATTGCCTCGTGTGTGCTAAGTATGCATTCTACCAGTGAGTTATGCTCCCAGTCTTGTTATCAGGGTTTTATTGTTTTTCCATTTTTTTGAGAGAGAATCTTATATAGCTCAGTCTGGCTTTGAACTCCTGTGTACAGAGGATGAACTTAGACTTCTGATCTGCCTACTGAGATGACAGGTGTGTGCCATCTGACTAGCATGATATCTTCAGTGAGTGTGTGTGTGTGTGTGCGAGCATGCATGTGTTATCATCCCATGGAATGCTTGTTTCAATCATGACGAATGAGTCCATGCCTGGGTGCCAATTCTATTATGCATGAGCTGTGTGACTTTAGAAAGGGCCCTTAGCCTCTCTGTGCCCACTGCAAAGGGTCATTGTGAGAACTGACTGGTGGGATGCTGGAGGAGCAGCTGGGATCCTCCCTTCTGGTTGTTCAATGTTAAGTTAGTTTCCACAACAATGAGCCCACCAAAGGCAGGTCCCTGAGGCTGCTGTCCCTAAAGCCATTTCAAGCCTTGGATAGGACGGGGGGGCTCTTTCTGAGTACAGAGGCCCTCCCTGGGGAGTAAAGCACATGAGGGTGACTGGAGACGACCCACAAGCTATACAGCAACACTCTGCAGTTCTGGGTGCTTCCAACCAGACTCGGCTCTTAGCCTGGCACAGCCCACATGCCCCAGACCTGGGACCAACACAAACTCCAAAAATAGTGGCAGCATCTGAGGATAGTGACCTCCTCTCTGTCCCTTCAGTTCCTGGGAGGAGATGCCATCCTGGCCCTGAAGGAAGCACAGAAAGACGCTGGAGGCCAGTGAGGCCATTCCTCCACTGGGGGGGGGCAGATATGGGCCCACTGGACGGCCAGGTAAACATGACACCCCATTGCTACTGTATGTGGGGTCTATCACCCTGGGCAACCCACCCTGGGACTCCTGGCTTTGAGACAAAAGCATATTCACCCTGGCAGGAATGAAGGAAGTCATTCTAAAGAGACACTTGAGGGGGAAAGCCTCAACCCGACACAAAAATCTACAGACCACCAAGGATGATGCTGAGAACGGGAGAATTCGTCTTCCCGGGGCCACACCCATTGGTTATGGTCATCCAATACTAAAGGTCAGCCCTGAAAACATATACACAAGTAACACAAGACCGACCAGGCTATTTTTATATATTTAGGAATATACATGTACATTGACAGCCCAGGGTGGTAGGACAAGCTGGCTCCTTCCCAGGTGCCAATTGCAGGCAGGAGGGTGGGGCTGGCTTAGACTCCACCTCCCCTCTGGGTAGCTGCTGTAGGGTGCTATCCTCTGAGCCAAGCAGCCACCGTCTTCATCACATCAGTGGTGCCCGCTTGCAGGAGTTGTCACCACCAGTTAGGCCTTTGACACATTCTCATGGAAGGAGTGGAGAGGATCAGTAGCCCTCGCCTGAGAGTCCAACCGCTTCTTCTGCCACTTGTACGCAATTCTGCCGTAAGAGCATGTAGGTCTCTGGTGATGCTAAAAAACGTGGTGTGTATAGTTTAACTGAAAGAAGGACTCAGCTACGCGGTTGTAGGGAAGCCTTCCTCCTCGCTGCAGTATGGTATCTTTGGGGTCTCACACGCTCCTATAAGCAATCCCTCATCCATGCTCTGTAAGTAAGCCCAATGAACTCATCAGTTCCCCATAGGGAACTCTGGCACACCGTTGAGACCTTATTGGGGGAGTAGATGTCATTTATAACTTCCCAGGGAAGGAATGCTCTCAACAGTAACAGATGTGGCATTTGGGAAGTGGGCAGAGAAAGACCTGGTTTCTGCTGC